TCATCTTTTACACAGAGAAACCCTGTCTCTAGTTCTGGGATTAAAGGTGTGTACACAATGAAACTCTGTCATGAAACAAACAAACCCAAAACCCAAAACAAATAAAGGTGTGTACCACCACCAGCACCCGGCCTCTAGGGCTAACTGGTGTGGCTACTGGGATTAAAGGCGTGTGCCACTACTGCCTGACCTCTATGGATAACCAATGTGGCTAGCTTTGTTAGATCATAAACAAAATATCACCACAATATCCCATTAAGCTTGGTTGATGGCACTTAAGAACTTTTCCTTTTTTATCTTGAAGTTTGAAACTCTCCCACATTTCTCTCAAAAACTGGTCCCAAAACCCCAAAAAACCCACATGTTCAGGTCCATTACAGCAATGACCTCACTGTCAGTAAGTACGAAGCTACTTTTCTCATTAGTGTGACAAAAATGCCTGACAAGAAGCAACTTAAGAGAGGGAGGGCTTACAGTTCAAGGGGAGACAATCTTTTGTGGAGAGGGACATCGTGGCCGTGTGTGCAGGAAGCTTCTCATCATGTTGTATTGAAGTCAGGAAGCATTGAGTGTGAACTTTGGGAATGTGAAGCCAGGCAGTTTATTGTCAGAATATTTAAACACAGTACAATCTGGGGGAAAACAAAAACATCTCCTGGTGTAATACAATCCCCGGTACACAGGGAGGCATACTTACTTTGAAACTGGACTCAGGGTACTCTAAGATGATGAGTTCTAGAGATAGGCTACCTCTATTAGCTTAAGGGCCTAGGGTGTGGCTCAATCATATAGCACAGAGGTCATTTGGGCTATTAGTCCTGGTTGTGGGTGCTTCAGGGTGCCCCTGGCTATACAGCTAATGTAAGGGTCATTTAACCTCTGGTCCTGGTTGTGGGAGTTTGATTGACCTGGGCCTACAGACAAAGCAGATCACTGGGCTATTAATACCCTCCAATTACCAGCTTTCTGGATGGAAAAACCAGTTACACACCTTTTCCTTTGAATAGACAATCCTGCATGCTTGACATTCCTGGTTTCCTTGGTGATTTGTGGGCTCATGCTCCCAACCAGAGGATGAGGAAGAAGTAGGATAGTTTATAAAACATCCAGTTCTACCCCTGAGACCCACTCCCTCCAACACAGCCCCACCCCCTAAATGTTCAACAGTATTCTCAAAAAGCATCAGCAGCTGGGGACCAGGTTCAAACACAGGAGCTTATCGAAGGCTTCACATTCAATGGGGAATTGCATAAATACGGATTTAAAGAGACAGTATCAAATGAAAAGAAAGGGTTCAGTGGAAGAGTGATGGGGAGTGGTAGACAGAAAATGGAACAGCAGAGGAAGCAGAATTGTGTCCTGATGAAGGAGAAGCCTGTGCTGGTCTGCACAAGTGACCAGTGACATGTCCCCCAGTACATTTCAGAATTCCGTTCTACCCAAGGGGCTGAACATGTGGAATTGTATCGGAGAGCTTCGTATGAACCTGAACTTGGTATAGGCGACAGTATACACAAGGTTGACTTGGTAATTTTCCTAGTTTATTTTCTGTTGCTATAATAGAATACCCAAGAATGTAAAGTTGCAACAAACAAAGAAACAAACAAAAAAATAGAAAAATGGCTTGTGTTTCTGAGGCTAGAAAGTTCACTTCTGAGGGCCTCCACTTGGTGATGATAATCTTGCTGGTGTAGATTTACAGAGGCCTAAGCTAAACTGGCTTCTACAGTCTGGGATGGCACAAACCTTAATTCATAAGTGGATTCCCACACAGGCTCTTAAACGCCACACTGCTTCCACCTTCCTCCCACATTAATTTCTGTACGGACTCTCAACACATAGCATGGGTACAACAGAAGTTTATAAGTTGGAATCTTGTTGCCTTTTCCTGAAGGGGATGTGGACCATTGGAAAAGAGGACAAACTAATCCTTCTATCCACAGATGAATGTAGTACTCACTCCTCATTAAAGAAGCTGCTCTTGCAGTTGACAGAGACCACCACAGAAAACCACAAATACAGAGACCTGATGGTGGGTGCCCAGCCCTGAGGGATACAACTACAACATACTTCCTGTCCCCTAGGCTCAGGAAACATCTCAAAAGAGGGGGTAGGGAGATCGTAAGACCCAGAGTGAAATTATATCTCTTAGAAATGACAGAGAAGAAACTGCACTCATGATTCCTCAACAATACGTCTGTCTAAACAAGACCCAATAAATGACAACGCTAACAGACATACTAACACGGAAGGGAGACTTCTCAAGGGGCTCCTGTCCTAGACAATGCTGAGAGGGAGAATTAGTCTTCCCAGGATGAGCCATGAACTGATTATATAATACCAATTTGTTGGCCTTGAAATCCTGTATACATAAACAATAAACAAACTCAGCTAGTTGCATTTACAAATTATGCATATATGTGCAATAATAATAATCAAAGCAAAAGGGGCCATGAGTTTGAGAGGAAGAGAGGGGAGGTGTGGGAGGGACTTGAAGGAAGAAAAGAAAGGGGGAATGAGGTAATTAAAATCTGAAAAAGGACCCTCTCAAAAAGGTGTATGTCTTCTGACCTCATTTGTCAATTGGGGGTAGAGAGTAGGAGGAGAATACAAATGAAAATATCCTACTAAAATGGAGTTTGAGCTGGGTGGTAGTGGCAGCTCATGCCTTTAGTGTCTTGCACTCGGGAAGGCAGAGGCAGGCAGATCTTTGTAAGTTTGAAGTCAGCCTGGTGTACAGGGTGAGTTCCCGGACAACTGGTCCTCCACATTGAAACCTTATATTGTAAAGCCAAAACAGACAGACAGACAGATAGATAGATAGATAGATAGATAGATAGTCAGACAGACAGACAGATAGATAAATGGAGTATGGAGTTTGAGGAATGGCATGGCAGAATATGAGATTTACTTGTCATGGAAGCATCGATGCAGCCAAACACCTGAGACAACTAACTTACAGACAGAAGGCTCATTTAGCTTACTCTGGAAATTCCTCTGATGAGGGCTATGGATGACAATGGAAAAATCAACTATGGGAATAACTGTCTGTCATCACGCAAGAGGCAGAGTGTGGAGACCAGGAGCTATAACTCAGCAATGCAGTTTCTTTTAAGGGTATACACCTTTGATGACCCAAAGGCTTTACTTCTTACCCCTCCTCTACTGCACCACCCAATACTGCCACTGTGGGGAAAGAGTCATTTACATAGTAGCCTTCGAAGGACAACCCAAATCATAACCAGGGGATGTGAGGTTTGCGGGTTAGTTTTGTCTTTAGTCTCCAGCTGTGAAGTACTGCCACTCATATGGGGATAAACTTTCTTTTTTCTTTTCTTTTTTTGCAGAGAGTGCTACATCTTAAGTCTTCCTATCCCAGGGTACTGGAGATCCATCTATGCCCATAGGGATCATACCATATGGGATCCTTATATTGTCTTGTATCTTCTTATTATTGACTGTCCAAAGATGCTGCATGAAAGGAAATGTCAGTTTTTATCTTCCCTTAGGCTTCCAGTTGGCACTTAGTAAATTAAGAAAGACTATATCTTCTGAGAGCAATGTGAGGATTTAGAGTGCGATTTGAGTATCAAGTGTCCAATATCTGCACTTATACCCATGGTAATGTAAGGGTGCAAGTACCAATCCCTTGCATAGCTATTTTACTTGGGTGCCTTTCAGCCACCTTGAACACAGAGACCACTAGATACTTGGAGACACCCAGTGAGTGATTGACTCTTCCCAAGTGAGTCAGAAGAAGCATAGTGGGAAAGCTATCATCCCAGAGCACAATACTTATTTCTGCTGCATTTTTATTTGGATGTGTTCTAAATTTTGATTTGCTTTTTTTTTTTTTTAAAAATGTAAGCAACACTGGAATCATATGACAAACCATCAAAAGAAGAAGAAGAAGATATAAGAAAAATATAAATAGAAAATAAGACAATAAGTATGCTGAGTATTTTTAAAAGATTATAAGCCGGGCAGTGGTGGTGTATACCTTTAGTTCCAGCACTCAGGAGGCAGAGGTAGGTGGAGCTCTGTGAGTTCAAGGCTAGCCTATTCTACAGAGTGAGTTCCAAGACAGTCAGAGCTGTTACAGAGAAAACCTGTGTCGAGAAACAAACAAAACAAAACAACAACAACAAAATAATAGCGTGTGTGTGTGTGTGTGTGTAGGTCAGGAGAGAGCATTGGATTCCGTGAACTGGAGCTGTTTGTGAGCCACCTAACATGGTGCCGAGCGCTGGATTTGTGTCCTAAGCAACACCAGTGGGTGCCTTAACAACTGAGCCATCTTTTCTGCCTAATGACTTCGGAAAAAAGTATCTTTTGTGAGAAAATTGTCTTACATTATCCATAAGAGTCATTATTGTAAAAACTAAAAACGACAGCCTGTTTTGTAAAACGAAAGTTGTAAAAGTCAACACCTATGCTTAAAGTGCCCAAATCAAAGATCAGCACTTACACTGCTAAAAACTCATCAAGGAAAAGAGGAAACCCTGACACACATGCACAAAAATCTCCCTTAGTCAACAGATACTGAACTGTGATTCCTAACAAAGAAGTAACGTCCAAGAAGGAATTAATACCCAAGAAATAAACTTTCTTTACCCCACTGTAAAGTTTATCTGCAAAGTTAGGACCTCCTCCTTCCTGGAGGAGCCCAAGTCGATTGCTCGCACTTTTCCCTGTAATCAAGTACAGGCCTTTTTTTTAGTGCCTTTCAAAGCTGCTCTTTATCCTCTTGGAGTTTAAAAGATTCCTCACCCTCTCTTGCTATTGGCCCCTCCTCGTGCTTACTTGATCTTTTCCCCTCCCCCACTTCCTAAACAGTCCTAATCTGTTCCCCCTTTCTCAGGCCGGCTGGGTGTCCCTCCGCCACTTCTTCCCTTCCTCCTCCTCCTCCTCCTCGCGGGCTCTTTCTTCCCTCTCCCCTCCCCTCCCCCAGCATGCCTCCCGGCGTGCTTCCCTTCCCCCCGCCGCTCGGCCCCGCACCCTCCCCTCCCCCGCCTGCTGCCTTGTGACACATCCTGGGCCCTCCCGGAGGCCGTAGCAGCGGCTGGGCGGCAGTGCTGGCCACCCCCTCCTCCGGAGTCCGCCACCCAGCGCAACCTGCGGCGGCCGCGGCCCTGCTGCTGCTGCTGCTGCTGCTGCTGCTGCTGCAGTCATGGCTGCTGACGGGGTGGACGAACGTTCGCCTCTGCTGTCAGCATCCCACTCGGGAAATGTCACTCCCACAGCCCCGCCGTACTTGCAAGAAAGCAGCCCGAGAGGTAAGGCCGGCATAGACCGTTCTGCTTCTCGCGGAAATGTCTGGAAGGAGGCATGCCGGGGAGCTCTAGCGCGGAGGCGGAGGGGAGCCTCTCACTTGGGCCGCGGGGAGGAGGATGCTGACTGCTGCCTTCCCAGGCGGTGCCTGCCGGCCCGAGAGCCTCGCTGCAGGGCTTCGCTGCTGCGGCTGCTGGTGTGGAGCCTGTGCTAGAGCACTTCTTACCCGGGTATAGGATCTGACGCCGATTTCCCAACCTCCGTGCTGTTGTTTCCAAAGCAGCTCCTAAGTGTAGCTGGGCGGTGGTGCAGATCCTGCAGTCATTCACAAGTCCTTCGGGTTGCTGAAAAAACCCGGGGTACAGCTCACCTTGGCATCTGTCCTTGAGAGGACTTGAGCACTACATCTTACACGTACCCCAGAACCCAGGGCAAACAGGAAGTGCCTAATCAGGAGTGACAGAGTTAATCAATATTCTTAATATGTCTGAAAGCCCTAAGCTTTGGGTAATAGGAGTGTGTCACAGCTTCAGTGGTGAGTCAAGAACCTGCAGATAGAAGGGAAAGAGGACTATTTTTTTATGCATATCTGGGTAAGGTTGAAATTAACTTCTGAAAAGTTACCCAAGTTTTCCATGTATGTATTTCTATTTTGGTTTTCAGTGTAGAATAAAGAGGAATTTCGGTAGATGGTGTGGTGAAGGAAAAGAAGTCTGTTTACCAAAGGATTCGATTTATTCAAAGATCTGTCTTTGTTCAACGCCTTTTGGGTGGTTATACAGCAGTCTGGAAGGCCAGCCTTGCAGAGATCGCCACATGTGGCAAGTGCAAGCCTAGCTTACTTCGCCTTTCTCTTTTGGCTGACTGTGAATGAAGTTTAAAAAACTCAAGGAGGCAAAAGTTAATGCTTTGGAAAATAGAAGCAGGCCACGTGTCTTGTAACACAACTTTCCCTAAGTTCGTGTCTGAAATTGGAGAATCCAGAAAAGGTTGAAGTTGTCTGGCATTTTATAACTTGAAAATCAGCCATGTGGGTTTTAGTCCGCCTATAAACAGAAGCAGGACAAAGGAAAACTATGGTTAGCTGGAATAATTCGGTGTGATTGACAGCTTGAGAGGAAAGGGGCAAAGTCTACCAGAACTCACCCACAGAAAACCTACGAGTTATACTTGATGGTCACAGTTCACCAGACATCAAGTCGGGGGATTTCCCTTTGTGGCCCAGTTCAATATTAATGTTGTTATATTCAGTATTTATTCACTGGTTCCGTAATGAATGTTTCAATTCCACAAACTTAGTTGTTTAAGACAAAATATTGACAACTTATTAGGGGGCTGAGTTTGGACTTAAATGATTGATGGAGAACATGTTTCTGTCATGGACCTATCTTCTCCTATCTTTAGTCAATTTGCGGTTACAAAGAATATGTGACTGATGCTTATAAACATGGGCCTACATTGACCTCATTGTTTTCTATAGATTTCCTTAATTTGATCAGATTCCTCAAACTACAAAGGACATGGCACTTACAGATAGACCACTGAAAAGAAGTAGCTTCACTCTAAAGAACTTTGAAGCACCCAGCTTTAAGGGTCTGTTTAATCAAAAAGTGCATTTGGCCTTGAGATAGAATAGTTTTTTTTCTCATACTGATGAAGGAGACAGTTAAGATATTTAAAACACTAATTTCATATAAAGCAAGAAACGTAACACAATTAAAGTCATTTGATTTGAGTGGTGATAGTATTTTTTTTCTTGACTAATAACAAATAATTATTTCAGTATTGTATACATTCTAGATCTAGGACACCATCAGCATTCATTCATTCATTCATTCATTCATTCATTCATTCATCAGTCAGAACTCTATGGGACTCCACAGTGTACCACATGCTATGCTGCTCTGAGTAAGCCTGACCAGAGCTGCCTTCAGAGAACTCACATAGCGGGAGAAAGAATAAATGAAGTTTTGATTGGATCAGTTCAGATTTTTAAGACTCATCACCGGATTCTGTTAATAGTTGAAAACAGTAAAATTCTTAGTTGGAATCCAAAGACTAGAAATTGGATGTACATTTCGGTGATTAACTTTAGTTTATGGTACCATTTATAATAATTCAGGCTGTGTGTGTGTGTGTGTGTGTGTGTGTGTGTGTGTGTGTGTGTGTGTGTGTGTTTATGTATGTAGGCTCCACAGGTCCTTAGCATGTGTCTCAGATACTCTACACTTCAGTTTTAGAGGCAGCTCTCTTTGAACCTGGAGCCCATTGACTAAGCTAGACAAGATGGCTACCAAAGGCCACAAGTCCTCTTGCCTCTGACTCCTCATGACTGGACTCCAGTGTGCAGCACCACGCCCAGCTGCATACGTGGGACCCAGGGATCAAGCTGCAGGTCCTCATGCTTTCAGAGCAAACAATTTACCAGTTTTACTGTCTTCACATCCTAATTACTCAGACGTTTAGTAGGCTAAGATGTTTAGTAGACTAAGATGCTTAGTAGGCTAAGAAGGAAGAGGAAGAAGCCTTAACAACAATATTGTCTAATTCATTGCTTTGTGTCACCTCTTTTTTTTGTTCCCCCTTGAGACTTTGAGACAAGTTTTCTCTGTGTGGCTTTGGAGCCTGTCCTGACACTCACTCTGTAGACCAGGTTGGCCTCACCTCACAGAATTCTGCCTGCCTCTGCCTCCCAAGTGCTGGGATTAAATTAAAGACATGAGCCACCACCGCCTGGCCTGTCACCTCCCTTGTAAAGACTTATTTGTTTTTTATTTTATGAGTACATGTGTGTGTGAGTGCATGTATGTGCACCATGTCTGTACAAGTGGTTGAGGATGGCAGGGGAGAGCCTTGGATGCCCTAGAACTGGAGTTCCAGTTGATGGTGAATCTCCCGCTGTGGGTGGTGGTAGCCAAACTTGGGGTCCCCTGCAAGAACAGCGTGTGCTCTTAACCAGTGGGCCACCTCTTCAGCCCCTCTTCATCACTTTGTAAGCAACATAAATTAAATTCCTGTCTCCTATGAAGACATAGTACACTTGGGGTTGAAAGTTATGGTGTGCTTATTTCTAGATAGGCTATTAATAATGTAGTAGAGAGGGCATTTAATGTTGGTCTTTAGATTTTGCTCAAGAACAATCACATGCAGTCCTTGGAATTATCCACCTGAGTTTCTGAATACAAAGCTAGCGGTTTCCACTGTCCTTACTGAATAGCTACAGAGTGCGACTTCTCTAGTGACTTTAGAGCTCCATGGTATATATTGGCCAGCTTTTGTTCAGGCATGGAAATTAAAATCAAAGACAGATTCAGTCTCATTTGAAAGGAAAGTAGGAAAACACAAAAACAAAAATACCACAAAGTTGAATAGTTTGGATAGATTAATTGATTCTCTTACAGACCGGCTAGTATTTTAGACAGTATATTGGAGAACACCATAGCTTTTATATTCACATCCTAGTTTGCTTCTCTGTTGATGCAGTAAAACACCATGACCTAAAGAAATTGGGGAGGAAGAGTTTATTTCAGCTTACAAGTTCCAGTTTGATGTGGGAATCTGGAGGCAGACAGATCTGAAGCAGAGTCTGTGGAGGAATGTAGCTCATTGGCTCATCTTTCACAGCTTGCTCAGCTCCCTTTCCTGTATAATCCAGAACCACTGCCTGCAGTGGCTGCTTCTTCCCATGTCAGTCATTTGTTAGGAACACGTCTGACAGACATGTCCACAGTCTGGTCTTGGGGACTGTTCCTCAGCTTAGGTTCCCACTACCAGGTTAACCTAACAAAACTGAATCAGCTCACTTTGTAAAATCTGTGAAAATGTTTTGAATTCCATATTGCCTAATTGTGCACAGCATTGACAATGGGAATGTAGCTTATGGCTTCAGTGTAATTCACAAAGGGAGGAGATACTTGGTTAGTTACAGAGGGATAAACCTCTGTACAGAGGGATAAAACTCATCAACGAATCCTGGCATGTTAGCCAAACTGTGGTAGGAAGGGGAAAACTGACTAGTTTCCCTTTCTCTTAGGGCATAATGGAATATAAATTGCACAGTCCCTCACATGCAAAGGGGACATGGATGGTGTTAGAACTATGTCTGTTACCTTGACCACATACACTATGGTTTAGCCTGGTTAAGGGACACTGAAAAGGCTGAACCTTGAATTGGAATCTAAGGGTGGAACAGGTTATCTAGATGAAAAGGGTACCAGATCGTAGGCAAAGAAAGTAGTATGGGAAAAAACCTTAGCAGACTGGGCTAGGGCAAGTCCAAGTGGGGAAGGAAGTTCAATGTTGCTAAAGTTGAGATATATATAAGGCACAGCTGTAAAATGAGATTACAGGTATGCGTGGTTGATATTTTCCATAGACTCTCTCTCCTCCCTGTAACTTTGTTTTCAGATATTCAAGCCCTGTAGAGTCTCTGCTTCAATATGGGCTAAGCCTGTGTCTTATTTTTGACCTCCAGAATGAGGTAAAAGTTGTACTAAATGAATTTAGATGTTAAATGAGAAGAGAATATTCAGTTTTTGCTCTTGATATTGGAGAAGTACACCATGGAGAAAGGTAACTTGTCATGTAAGAAATGGGATATTTGGATGATTAGAGAAAGCCAAAACAGTGCAGAAAGGCCACATAGAAGAAAGATGTCTGACCAGCCCTTAGACATGTGAATGTCTTGGATACAGCGCAGAGACCAGTCTTCAAATGATACCAACCTAAGACAAACTATTATTCCATCTACATAAGACACTGTAGATGACAACAACCCAGCTGATGCTGGACAATTCACGGAATTGTCGGCACTAGTCTTACATTTTTAAGATATTATAATTTCGAGTGATTCATTCTGCTTCATCAATGGACCCTGCAATGAATGTGAGTTGATTCCAGAGCATTATAGGCCATTTGAAAATTTTGTTTAAACAAAAAACTACTGTCAGATCATTATTTTACATCACTCTATAGAATAGATAAATTAAATGATCAACCAGAGTAT